GAATGGAATGGAGTAGAATATTGGAATGGAATAGAATTAGAAATAATAGAATACAGAATAGAATGGAATGGAATGAGAATGAGGATATGTGGTTAATTGTCCTAAGTGTGAAATCTGGTCGTAAGCTACATTTTTCAGTGCTGTTGTAACTTTGACCGGTCATTAATCAAATGGGCTAATCTGTATTTATTTGATGTATTTGCAACCTGCCCTTTGATAAAAGGCATAGAGGACCAGAATAATTTGTCTGAAGTGGTGTAAGGTTTCCTGCTTAGGCAGGGGGTTGGACTAGAAGACCTCCAAGGTACCTTCCAACTCTGTTATTCTATTCTATTCTATTCTATTCTATTCTATTCTATTCTATTCTATTCTATTCTATATTAAAATGCTCTGCCAAGATTGAAATCAAAAGCAGGCTATCCACAAGTCTTAAAAGTTGCTAAGGTTGGATACCCCTGTATTATTTTTTTTAAGACGTGTGGACTTCAACTCCCAGAATTCCTCCCCCCAGTCATGTTAGCTCGGGAATTCTGGGAGTTGAAGTCCATAAGTCTTTAAACTTGCCAAGTTTGCTATACGTGTTAAGCTTTTAAAGCTTTTTTGGCTCTTCTCAGGGCACCACAAACAAAGGCGCCACCGAGAAACCCTGGAGCGCGCATGCGCCTCCGGCGGCGGCGGCGGCATCCCGGCCGATCCAAAAGCGACGCTTCCACTTCGCTCTCTGCTGGAAAGCCTCGCCGCGACCTGTAGAAGGCCGGCTGCGTGACCCGGAAGGAGAAGCCAAACCGGAAGTGGGGAAGCTGAAGCCGATGCCGAGTCCAGTGCGGAGTTTGGGCAGGTGAGTTAGAGGGGGGCTCCCTTTGCCCCATTGGGGCTCGGACTTGGAGGGAGGGGCGGGAAGGACGGGATTCTCCTTCCATTCTCCTCCCCTCTTTGTATTCTCCCCTCGGGGAGGGCTGCCTAGCTCCCCCCACCTTTCCCCATAGGGAAGCCCTGCCAGGCTGCCAGGCTAGGCTATATATGGGGTGGTTGGGTGGGCGAGAGACCCCCTCATAGGCTTCCTTGCAACCCTCTGATGAATGATTGCCCCCCCCCGGCCCCCTTCCTTCCAAATTTCCCCCCTCTTCAACTGTCCCCTCTTGGGACCATTCCAACAAGGGGACATGGATGTGGCAGCTTCCCTATTAAAATGCAATGGGCAAAATTGGGGAGGGGGCGGTGGGGAGGGTGGCACAGGCTCCCCAGGCAAACACAGCCAAGCCACCATCCAGGGCAGCTCAGGTGTTCCCTGCCTGTCTGGAGAAAAATAATGTCCTTAAACAGGGTAGAAAGTACAAGTAACTTTTGTTAGAGATACAAATTGGCCAACAAGAAGATAACAGATAGAGTTGGAAGGGACCTTGTAGGTCATCTAGTCCAGTGGTCCCCAACCTTTTTTGCGCCACGGCCCGGTACCGGCATCGCAAAATGATCCGTGGCCCGGTACCGGCATCAACACGCATGACAAGGCAAGGTGAGCCGAGCGACCGGCCAGCCAGCCGTCCTCCGCTTCTCCCCGCCACCTTCAACTCCTCCTTTGTACCTTTGTCGATGGGCTTCGCTTCGGGACGGCTTCGGGACGGTCGCTCGGCTCGCCTTGCCTTGGGTGCTGAAGGAATCCTCGTGCCTTAGTTTCGTTCGAAGCCGCCCCCCCTCGATGAAACTAAGGCGCGAGGATTCCTTCAGCACCCAAACGCCGCTTTCCAACCGGAAAAGCTCACCTGGAAGCACTTTCTTGTCAAACAAGATGGCGGCGCCCAGCAAACCGGTGGCCCGGTAGGAAATGTTCCACGGACCGGTACCGGTCCGCGGCCCGGTGGTTGGGGACCCCTGATCTAGTCCAACCCACCGTCCAAGCGGGAGACCCTACACCATTTCTGACCGATGGGAGTCCAATCTCTTCTTGAAAGCCTTCAAGGATGAAGCTCC